GACCAAATATCGGGTTAAATATCGGTGGGGTGGCCGATGTCCGATATTCAGTTTTAAGGCCGATACCGATAGGGGGCCGATTATATCGTACATCCCTACTGGATATGCTCAAGACTAATCACGAAATTTCAGTTAGTTTGTGTACACTGAAGACACACTTAAAAGAAGCTGGACTGTTCAGACGACGCAACTTCCGGTTCAAGGGTCAAACGGCGCCGTCGTCCAATCAGCGATGTCTCATGTTTCCCACTGGTACCTACCTTTTCCGGTAGGTTAATGTAATTGTGTTTTTCTTAATGTAGTTGTGCTTTGCTTTATGTAGTTGCGATTTCCTTAATGTAGTTGCGCTTTGCTTTATGTAGTTGCGATTTCCTTTATGTAGTTGCGATTTCCTTAATGTAGTTGCGCTTTGCTTTAGGTAGTTGCGATTTCCTTAATGTAGTTGCGCTTTGCTTTATGTAGTTGCGATTTCCTTTATGTAGTTGCGATTTCCTTAATGTAGTTGCGATTTCCTTAATGTAGTTGCGATTTCCTTAATGTAGTTGCGCTTTGCTTTATGTAGTTTTGTTTTGCTTAATGTAGTTGTGCGTTGCTTTATGTAGTTGCCATTTCCTCAATGTAGTTGCGCTTTGCTTTATGTAGTTGCAATTTCCTTTATGTAGTTGCGCTTTGCTTTATGTAGTTGCGATTTCCTTAATGTAGTTGCGCTTTGCTTTATGTAGTTGCGATTTCCTTAATGTAGTTGCGCTTTGCTTTATGTAGTTTTGTTTTTCTTGATGTAGTTGCGCTTTGCTTTATGTAGTTGCCATTTCCTCAATGTAGTTGCGCTTTGCTTTATGTAGTTGCCATTTCCTCAATGTAGTTGCGCTTTGCTTTATGTAGTTGCCATTTCCTCAATGTAGTTGCGCTTTGCTTTATGTAGTTGCCATTTCCTCAATGTAGTTGCGCTTTGCTTTATGTAGTTGCCATTTCCTCAATGTAGTTGCGCTTTGCTTTATGTAGTTGCGATTTCCTTTATGTAGTTGCGCTTTGCTTTATGTAGTTGCGATTTCCTTAATGTAGTTGCGCTTTGCTTTATGTAGTTGCGATTTCCTTAATGTAGTTGCGCTTTGCTTTATGTAGTTTTGTTTTTCTTAATGTAGTTGCGCTTTGCTTTACGTAGTTTTGTTTTTCTTAATGTAGTTGCACTTTGCTTTATGTAGTTGCAATTTCCTTTATGTAGTTGCGATTTCCTTTATGTAGCTGCGATTTCCTTTATGTAGCTGCGATTTCCTTTATGTAGTTGCGCTTTGCTTTATGTAGTTTTGTTTTTCTTAATGTAGTTGCGCTTTGCTTTATGTAGTTTTGTTTTTCTTAATGTAGCTGGGCTTTGCTTTATGTAGTTACGATTTCCTTAATGTAGTTGCGCTTTGCTTTATGTAGTTGCGATTTCCTTAATGTAGTTGCGCTTTGCTTTATGTAGTTGCGATTTCCTTAATGTAGTTGGGCTTTTAGATTTGTAGTTGCAGTTTGCACTTCAGGGCCACCGTACAACTGTAGCTGTATGCACTAAACACACACAAACGCGTTCCTGCGGTTGCACAGCTGTGGCCTAGTTACTGACAAAATAAAATGTTAAATATAGATTAAAAAAATCCTGCTTTTTTTGGCTTTCAGCTAAGTCTTAACTATTTTAATTTGCCTTAGTGGGTAAAGATTGTTACCATAAGTGAAATACTTCATAGTTTTTCTTTCTACAAGTAATTGCAAACGCTGGAAAGGTCACCTTAGTAACCCATTAACTCTTTTAATAAGCCTAATTAAAATAAAATACCACTCCTACACAGAGTTAGTGAAAGTTAACCCTCTTTCTTCAATCCAGATTAATAATTAGACCTTAAATCTCCCTCAACAAGTCAAGGTCATACATGTGGCCCCTCGCTGTGCTGTAAGCCTGGATGAACTAAGGCCCCCATTTATGTGTGACCTGACCTCACAGTGGTGCTGAACAAAGCCTGCAAAGAGGAATCATAAATGGAGCGGATAAAACAGAAAAGCTGAAGGTGTGTTTGCAGGGAAGACAATCAAGACCAAGCAAACCAATGATTAAACACGGAACCTTCGGGAGCCATTGTTTAACTCGTGAACTCAATATCCGAGGACCTGAAAGGGCTTCCAGTGCAAGTTTCTCAGGAATGATCAGGCATCATCACAACAAAGAATACGGAATACTGTACGGAAGAGGATTAGGGCCACTGGGGAAAAAAAAGTTAACTGATTTTATTTTAGTTTAATATGGGAAAAAGGGTCAAAATTCTGACAGCTAACAAACAGCCGTAGCCTTGTCTGTTTTAGAGACTAGCTCTATTGTTTTAATGATCTTCTGCTCTTCCATTAATGAAATAGCATTACTGAGGACCCCTCAGGCACGAAAAAAGTCGCCTAATTGGGTCATTTTCCACCAATGTGTTCCTGTTCCTCCCGAACAACTCGCATCTTTGTCAGTGAAGCTGAGTGCTCCACATCTCTTCCTTCATGGTGCTTTTTAAGATTAAAATTAGGGATGCACGGTATTGGGATTTTGGCCGATATCCGATATTTTAAAACTCATGTAGCCGATAACCGATATCGATACCGATGTTAAAGCTGGACAAAAATAAGTAGTCATTGAAAATAGCTGTTTTGTTATCCATTTCTGACACTTTGAAAAATAATATACTCAAATATATTTTCATATGCTGATATCAAATAGATTTTTAAAAACGCGGTATCGATCTATTTTACTTTCAAAATCTCGTGAACTTTCATCGTTCTGTTACAAACTCGTGATATTTTGCAAATTCTTGTGAGATTTTGTTAGTAAAATAGATCGATACCGCATCAATATATCAACATATAAAAATATGGCAAAGTTACGTGAATTTTCGGGGGATTTCGTAGCATAACGATGACATATAGCAATATTTCATTAGTAAAAGAGATTGATATGGTGTTTTTAAATGGCAATATATCAGCATATGAAGATATTGGGATATTTTAATGTATCAATATTTTTTTCCCTCGTCTTTAGAAGTTTTTAAGTCTGTAAAAAAAGAAGTTTTTGAGGAAGAAGAAGAAGTAGTATTTTTTTTTTTAGACTTTAGAAACTCAGAAGCTGATCAAATATCGGGTTAAATATCGGTGGGGTGGCCGATGTCCGATATTCAGTTTTAAGGCCGATACAGATAGGAGGCCGATTATATCGTGCATCCCAAATTAAGATCCAAAATTCTGAGATTAAAGGCAACATTCTGATGGAAAAAAGTCAGAATTCTTAAATTAAAGCCTGAATTCTGAACTTTTTCCCCATATTTAACTGAAATGAAATTGAAAAAAAAAAAAAATCAGTAAACTTTTTTTATTTTTTCAGTGGCCCTAATCCTCTTCTGGACTTCTGAGCTTTTCTTCACCGTCTGAGCTGCAAATGCATATTCCTTTACAAATACAAACTTTTATTTTTTTTATGATTTCAAATGATGCTGCTTAGACAAAGTTGATTTGGCTCAGAAAATGTCAACATTATGTCAAACACTCAAAAATTTGGATGATTCCAATCTCTGGTGATGAAAATTAATGTATAGATTTTTTTCTTTTGTCATTTGGATCTACGGTATTTTTTATTTTTTGCATTTGCAGGGAAATTGTATCGTCTTGAAAATATGAATAAACAAGAAAAACAACATGTAATTGTTTAGACGCAAGAATGCAGAGTATTGCTTTTATAGGTAGTAATGGAAGTGGATAAAATGGTTGATAAAATAAACTTGAAAGTGACTAAAAACAAATAGTTTGTTTACTTTTTTAAACAGCGGACTTTCCTTAAATGTTTGACGTGTGCAGTTAATTGAATTTCTTTCTTTTTAAATCAAAAATGTTTTATATTCTATATCAGCTGGTTTGTAATAAATTAATAAACTTTGTCTTTGACTAAATAATCTAAAGCTTATTTATCACCGTTGGTAAATTTGATTAAGGAATAGAGATTGTATCAGTTGAGAGGTCGAACTCTAAATCTTTTTTAATAACCATAAAACTAAGAACTGTGCTCCTTTTTTCACTCTATAAACACATTATGAACCAACAGCAGGAGTTTAATGGATATCAGAGGTTATGAACATGTTTTGATGGAAAAACCCCACATCTTCCCCCAAAAACCTGTCGCACATCTGTCAGTCTTCTGCCTCTGAAGCTAAAAGAAATCAAAGAGCTCAAACCAGGGGTCGCATTTGACCAATAGAATGTTCTGCTCTGGTAAAATTAAAGCAGGAAAACATAAGTGGCTGTTTTCCTGCTGAGAGTCACTAACCCAGCTGTCCCTCCGCCCACCGGCCTCATTAATCATGATGTTATATTGACACGGGGCCTTTCATGGAGAACATGCAGAGAAAAGCCAATGAGAGGAGAAGAAAGGCCTTCTTTCTCAAAAGATCAAGACATCTGGGAAGCATAATCATCACTTTTGGATTGTTGACTCGTCTAATATCTGAAATAAATCCCACTCAGACGGCAGTAAACGCCCGAGGCGTCATCGTTAAGAAGTTCACACCTGAGGCTGTTCCATTAATCTTCTGCTCTCATTTGTGCCCCCCTCCCCCCGCGGGTCTGACCCGGCGTCGTCACGCCGCTTGAACTGGACCGAAGCCAAGAACGTTTAATCCAGCGAGTGGAATTAAGGGGCAGCTTTTTCTTTCTTTTAAACTGACTGAGGCTCAAGGTGAAGAAAGGCAGACGATCTGTGGTCTGGTCAGTAATTAAACGCCATCGAAGCTCAGGCGTCCTGCCAAAGGGGACGTGATCTGTCCTCTTTATGGGACAGAACAGCCCGACTCTCAGCCTGAGGAAGTCAATTATTAATAACGAGAGACGGAGCGAGCCCAAACTAAAAACAGCAGATGTTGCTTTTCCCTCTTAAAAATGTTTAAGCAAGAAAGATAAAGACATTTGCACTAACATTAAAGCAAACACAGTGTGGTGTAACATACCTGTTTGAAGAGCTCCTCGTATCCCCAGTCGGCGAGGCTGGTGGGGGGTGTATAGGTGGTTTGACCCACAGGAGAAGACAGATTCTTCTCCTCCCTCTCCTCTTTTACTGCTGGAGGCTGAGACGTTTGCTCCACAGCAGCCGGCAGGGATGTGGAATAAGGCTGGAAGCCTGAAACCTTCTTCTCCTCTTCCTCTTCCTCTAATTCAACCCCTTCCTCAGGTTCCAACATCTCTTGCTCTTCTCCATCCCACTCCTCGTCCTCCTGCTTTGGCACCGTCTTGGTCTGAGGGTTGCTGTGGCCGTATTGGGTGGCTGGGGGAATCTCTGCATCTGCTTTCCCAAACAGCAGGGAGTCCGGCCTGGAGCCAGACGCTCTTGCTGCAGCAGCCTGCTGAGCCAAGAGAAACTGAGCTTGAAGAAGATGCTTCTCCTGCAGGTTCATCTCCAGTTTAGCTCCCTGATGCCTCTGCAGCTGCTCCATCATCGCCTCAAGCTTCATCCCTGCAGGAATAGACTGCTGCAGACCCCCAACAGAGCTCCGCTCTTCAGATAAGTTTGACTGTGGACAGATAAAGAAAAAACAAAAACAAAGGGTAGTACTTATAATTAGGGCTAGGCAATTAATTGCATTTGCAAAAATCTAAATTGCGATTATTTTTCAACAAAATTATGATTTTATTGCGATTTTCCTTTGTACCAACCCCAAACTTGTAGACGTTTCAACTAGGGATGCACGATATTGGGATTTTGGCCGATATCCGATATGCGGATATTTTAAAACTCATGTAGCCGATAACCGATATCGATACCGATGTTAAAGCTGGACAAAAATAAGTAGTCATTGAAAATAGCAGTTTTGTTATCCATTTCTGACACTTTGAAAAATAATATACTCAAATATATTTTCATATGCTGATATCAAATCTATTTTTAAAAATGCGGTATCGATCTATTTTACTTTCAAAATCTCGTGAAATTTCATCGTTCTGTTACAAACTCTCGTGATATTTTGCAAATTCTTGTGAGATTTTGTTAGTAAAATAGATCGATACCGCGTCAATATATCAACATATAAAAATATGGCAACATTTGGTGAATTTTCGGGGGATTTCGTAGCATAACGATGACATATAGCAATATTTCATTAGTAAAAGAGATTGATATGGTGTTTTTAAATGGCAATATATCAGCATATGAACATATTGGGATATTTTAATGTATTTTTTTATTTTAGAAGTTTTTAAGTCTGTAAAAAAGAAGTTTTAGAAGAAGTAGTATTTATATACCGGTATATTTTTTTTAGACTTTAGAAACTCAGAAGTTGATCAAATATCGGGTTAAATATCGGTGGGGTGGAGGATGTCAGATATTCAGTTTTAAGGCCGATACCGATAGGGGGCCGATTATATCGTGCATCCTTAGTTTCAACCAAGGTTTTTGCTTTTCGAGAGCTTGCTTGCCCATAATCCATCGTTAAAGGACTTCACTGTAACCATTTAGTGAAAAAGTGTTTACTTCTTCTTGCATGCATGGATGGAAATAAAATAAAACTAATCGAAAGTTAGAAATTTTGGCAAAATCGTTCAGCCTTGGTCATAATCTCTGCATATAGAAGTGCACCATATAATTTGCCAGATATCACACTTTAGACACCGTCTTTTTATGAAAGTCACATGAGGAGATACTTGAAAGGCCATTTATCAAACCGATCAGCCTGTGAAGGGCAGCTTGTCACTTTTTAATTCCCATTAAATATCAAAGAGTCATAAATAATTAGACCTTCCACTTTTTAATTTCAGCTCCATATCAACACATCATAAATCTTTCCGCCTGTTACTCTTTCATTTCTGTTTGGATATCAAATTATTGCAATAAATCTTGTCATTAATCAAATTTGAATCTTGTCATGACGCCTGTCAAATTCAATTTAGTTTATTCATTTAACCCAAATTTAACAACACATGTCATGTTAGGAAAACCAGTAGATTGTATCACGTTACTGACTTGCAAGACTCGCTGCTCAAGGATGAGCTTGAAGCAACAATATCTGCATGCATTTTATTGCTGCCTCTACAGAGGGGTGGGCAATTCCAGTTCCTGGGGGCCGGTATCCTGCAACTTTTAGATCCATCCTTGCTCCAACACACCTTAATTAAATGGCTCGGTTACCTCCTTAGTATGCAGTCACTTCCTCCAGAGTCCTCTCAATCATCTAATTATTTGATTCAGATGTGCTGAACCAAAGACACATCTAAAAGTTGCAGGATAGCGGCCCTCAGGAACTGGAATTGCCCACCGCTGCTCTACAGCAATCCCTCACATATATGCATGCAGCGACAGTGGAGAGGAAAAACTCCCTTTTAACAGGAAGAAGGCTCCAGCAGAACCAGGCTCAGTGTGAGCGGCCTGGGTTGAAGAAGATCACTTTGAAAATTTGTTGCACCTTACAACCAACTGCGAGGTGAGTTATGAGAACACATGACCAGCACGCTGCAGAGAAAGCAGCGAAAGATAAGAAGTCGGTCGAGGCGACGTGTTTAGCACCGACGGGGAACAACATGATATCTGTCAATAACAATAACTACCTCAGCGTCACTGCAGACGCCATCGATGCCAGCTGGAAACTTAGGTAGGCGATGTTATGTCATTTTAAATCACAACAAACGATTCCCATAACATTGTGTTTGCTTCGGTGAACGTGGGTAAAATGGGACGCTTTTTGAAAATGTAGCTTCTGTGGTATTTATTTAGCCTATTTCATTTATAGAGCTAGAGTTTCATACGATACATTTTTAAAAACCTTAAAAGAGACTTTCTAAACACAGATTATAGTATTATCCTCAAAAGCTGTTGCACCAAAGTTTGGCTCCAAAGTTGGAAGAAAGAAATAGAGCTTGGACTGACTGACCCAAAGCTACTGACTGTTAACGGTTCATCATGACCTATTATGTAGGCTAACAGCTCAGAATTCATGTCGATCTGAATAAACACTTAAACATTAATACATTTGATTGAAAATTATTTATTTTCATCACCAGTTATCATAGAAAAGCTTTCTCAATCAGTTTGTGATTCATTTTGGAAACAGGAGATGACCTGGCTTCAGGAACCTGTTAAAAGACTTTACTTTTACGCATTATTTAGGAAGCAAACACACATCATCCTTATCTTTTTCTATTGTTATATCTTATTTGCACTTAGAATCTTATATTTCTCTCTTCTGTAAACTGTTGCACTGCAAAAAAAGAATTTCCCGCAAGGGATTAATAGAGTAATTCTGATTCTGATTCATTAATCCCTTTGGCAGAATTCAAATGAGCCATTTTAATCTAGATTAATTCCAAGATTACAGTGAGATTAACCTAAAAAAATTATCTATACCCAGCACTAAAACAAACAGGAAAACTATCAGCATGGAAGTCAACCAAAAGCATAAAATAAATGCATTAAACTTTTACATATCTAAAAAGGATAAGTAGCCAACATGTTTATCTATTGATGTCAATAAGTGTGCAGGTTTAGGAAGAGTTCTAGCCTGATTTAGAACCAAGTTGGTCTAAAGTTTGGATCGAAAACAGATAAATCCTTGTGCATGCAATCATTAGGTCAAATAAAGACCTTACTTTGCAGACAGAGAGGAAAAAAACCCGCTGAAGGTGAAAGATCTTATCCTTTACCGTGTTTATTTTACAAACAGGGCGTTTTATTTGCATCTGCAAACTAAGCAGCTCCATTTTCTCCGAGCTTATATTTCCAGACTCCTGTGGTAAAGCTGCTCTGTAACGTCTCCATTAACCGACTGTTGCTTTGTTACTGTAACAAACACGGCTGGAGGGGGGGGGAGCGCACTCACCATTTGCGCCTTGGAGTAATTCATCGTCGCCAGCAGGTCTTATGTCTGTTTTTCCTCGTTTCCTCCCAGCAGAAAGAAGTCACATCCCATCAGCAGCTTGTCTTCTTTCAACTATTTCTTTCTTTTTTTTTCCTTCTTCCCTCTTTAGGACCGAGAGAGAGACTTTAAAAGTCCGGGATGGTGTGGGAGGACGCGCGGCGGCCCGGCTGGAGCTGGAGGAGGGGTGGAAATGGTTGAGACCTCCCTGTTGGTCACTGCGCATGGAAACTCAAACATCTTTGATTGTCTCCGATAGGTGACCCCCCCCGCCACCCACAGTCCGGCTCAATCAATGGCCCGCCCCGCTCCGTGCGTAAAAGGAAAAAAAAGCGTCAAATGTTTTTCTTTCTTCCCTTTTTTCCTCTATTTGCAGCAATGATCAGCTTCCTTTCCACTCGCAGCTTATTGCTTATTATTCATGGAGGAAACCAGAGTTATTCTCCTGAAGAAGGAGCGGATTTTTTTATTTTTAAAGAATGCATCCGGTAGGGGAGTATACATTAAGTTTGACCTCCCTCTGAGCTCAACTATGGGGCCAAAATGGTAGCTTTAATATTTGCAAATGTGTGTGGAGAGTTGTGTGTCTGTATCTCGATTTGTGTGTGTGCAGTGGGATTTGAAAATGTGTAAATAAATCTGTAAATGTGTGAGGGGATTTGTGTGTCTGTACAACAATCTGCAAATGTGTAAAACTACTTGTGTGTAATCCGTTTTGCAAATGTGTAAAAAATCCACAAATCTGTATTCAGATCTGCAAATGTGTACTGAGATTTGCAAATGTGTAAAAAATCCACAAATCTGTATTCAGATCTGCAAATGTGTACTGAGATTTGCAAATGTGTAGATCAATCTGTAAGCACACACAGAGACACTTGTGTCTGAAGTATTTTCGCTTCAAGACCCAGAAATACAGACAAATCATTGGTTACAAGTCAAGCGGTTTTTCGGTTGGCTCTCTTTACACACGTGATTTTTGCTACTCTTCTGCCGCGTGAGATGCACAAATGCGTAGAAGGATTTGTATGTGTATTTTCGCGATTTGTAACCCCTTGCGCAGGCTCGCAGGCTCACATGCTGCCCTGACCGCAGGCTCACAGGCTCACAGACAGCCTCTCTCTGCTGCGGCAGTTCAGCACAACTTGCTTCACATACAGCCACATACCACCAGTTGGCGGTATTGTACAGTACGTGACGTTACTGGGGTCCTAGGGGTTGTACCTGCTAAGTTGAGAGCAATGGAATCCCGTCAGCTTTCTGTAAGTATATTTCTTAAATTTTTCCTATAGTTTGCATTAGTAAAACTGTTTCTTCTTCTTCTGCTTTATGGCGGTTGGCAAGCAACTTTATGATGTGCATTACCACCATCTACTTCAGTGGAGTGGGGATCGGGATGCTATGTATTTTCCCACTGAAAAATAAAAATAAATATTAACAATATTTACATAAACTTATATCCTTTCTACCAATTTCGTTTTTTCAGGATTGTTTATCAAATTACAAAAATAATCATAAGTAGATTCCCCCCCCCCCCAAAATATCTTGTTTAACTGTAATTTATTTTCTTGTAACCCTTCTCTCCATAGAATATTTATAACAAAACAACAAAACATGCTCCACCGTATCCCCTTGATAACAAAAACCACAACCTCCTGTTCCCATTCTAAATAAGTTTCCATTTAACCCCGTGTTTCCGAAACTTAATCTAGATATAACCTCTTTTTTATTCCTTTCCGTTCTCCTCATTTCACCAATTTTCCTTTGAATACTATAAAGCCAACTTCCAGTTATATGCTCTTCCCACAGCTTCTGCCATCTTTCCGTAACCTTTTGTTTAATAATAGATTAAAAATTTTCCTTACTGAATGGTATCAATATATAATCCTTGTCACGTCAACTCCCGCAGCGGAGGAAAAAAAAGGTAGAGGCTGTCTGTGAGCCTGTGAGCCTGCGGTCAGGGCAGCCTGCGAGCCTGCGCAAGGGGTTACAAATCGCGAAAATACACATACAAATCCTTCTACACATTTGTGCATCTCACGCGGCAGAAGAGTAGCAAAAATCACGTGTGTAAAGAGAGCCAACCGAAAAACCGCTTGACTTGTAACCAATGATTTGTCTGTATTTCTGGGTCTTGAAGCGAAAATACTTCAGACACAAGTGTCTCTGTGTGTGCTTACAGATTGATCTACACATTTGCAAGTCTCAGTACACATTTGCAGATCTGAATACAGATTTGTGGATTTTTTACACATTTGCAAATCTCAGTACACATTTGCAGATCTGAATACAGATTTGTGGATTTTTTACACATTTGCAAATCTCAGTACACATTTGCAGATCTGAATACAGATTTGTGGATTTTTTACACATTTGCAAAACGGATTACACACAAGTAGTTTTACACATTTGCAGATTGTTGTACAGACACACAAATCTCCTCACACATTTACAGATTTATTTACACATTTTCAAATCCCACTGCACACACACAAATCGAGATACAGACACACAACTCTCCACACACATTTGCAAATATTAAAGCTACCATTTTGGCCCCATACTCAACGCTCAGCCTGGTCTTTCCTCACGTTGTAATTCAACACCCCGCAGGTTTATTGGCCCCATCATGTTAACGCATATAGAGTGTATGGCCCCTCCCTGGATCTATAGAGCAGGGGCCAAACCCACAACAACAATGCATTCAACTTCTTCACTCTTATCTTTATTTATTCATAGAAAATGCATATATACAATTTCAAATATAAATATATATGATATTTAATTATATTATATATAAAATGATTTAATCACAGGTGTAACTTATAGTTAGATATTTTTTTTTATTTCATGGGGAATTTCAGTATTTAATAGTGCATTTCATTTCTTGCAGTTTATATTATAAAAAATAAAATAATTGAACTTTATTGATCTCACATTGGAGAAATTTACCTCTGCATTTACAGTCTGTATGGTATGGAGAGCCATTTCAGCCAAAATTAAATAAATAAATAAATAAATAAATAAATAAATAAATAAATAAATAAATAAATATATGGGTGAAATAAATAGAAAATGAGTAAAATAAATCAAAAAATGAAGAAAATGAGTGAAATAAATAAAAAAATTGTTAAATAAATAATTTAGCTTTACATTTCTTCACTCTTATTTTTATTTATTCAAAGAAAATGCATATATACAATTTCAAATATAAATATATATGATATTTAATTATATTATATATAAAATGATTTAATCACAGGTGTAAATTATAGTTAGATATTTTTTACATTTCATGGGGAATTTCAGTATTTAATAGTGCAGTTCATTTCTTCCAGTTTTTATTATAAAAAATAAAATAATTGAACTTTATTGATCTCACATTGGAGAAATTTACCTCTGCATTTACAGTCTATATGGTATGGAGAGCCATTTCAGCCAAAATTAAATAAATAAATAAATAAATGGGTGAAATAAATAAAAAATGAGTAAAATAAATAATTTAGCTTTACATTTCTTAACTCTTATTTTTATTTATTCAAAGAAAATGCATATATACAATTTCAAATATAAATATATATGATATTTAATTATATTATATATGAAATGATTTAATCACAAATGTAAATTATAGTTAGATCTTTTCATGGGGAATTTCAGTATTTAATAGTGCAGTTCATTTCTTCGAGTTTTTATTATAAAAAATAAAATAATTGAACTTTATTTATCTCACATTGGAGAAATTTACCTCTGCAGTTTCAGTCTGTATGGCCCCTCCCTGGATCTATAGAGCAGGGGCCAAATCCACAACAACACATTCAGTTACTTCACTCTTATTTTTATTTATTCAAAGAAAATGCATATATACAATTTCAAATATAAATATATATGATATTTAATTATATCATATATGAAATTATTTAATTACAAATGTAAAGTTTATTTAGATTTTTTATATTTCATGGGGTGTTTCAGTACTTAATAATGTATTTTATAATTTGATGGTATTTTCTATATCTTTTTTTCAGCTTTCACAGAAAAATGAAATAATTAAACTTAATTGATCTCACATTGGAGAAATTTACCTCTGCATTTAACCCATCCCCTTGGTGAGCAGCGGGCTGCCATTGTGCGGCGCCTGGGGAACAATCAGGGGTTAAATGACTTCATTCTTATTTTTATTTATTCATAGAAAATGAAGGTAATATATACAATTTCATATATAAATATATATGTGACATTTAATTATTTATATTATATATGAAATTATAAAGTCACAAATGTAAATTATAATTCGATTGCTTTTTATATTTCATGGTGCGTTTCAGTATTTAATAGTGCATTTTATGATTTGATGGTATTTTCTATATCCTTTTTTTCAGCTTTTACTATAAAAAAGAGAAAAAAAATTATTTTATTGATCTCACATTGGCGAAATTTACCTCTGCATTTAACCCATCTTCTTGGAGAGCAGTGGGCTGCCATCATGGGGCACCTGGAGAGCAATCCAGGGTGGCAGTCTGTGGTAGTGGGTTTTGGACTCACAACCTCAGGACTCCAGGCTCTATGCCCTCATCACTAGACCACCGCTCCCCTGATATCTGAACAATGTCTTGAATAACCAATTAAATAAATAAAAGTAGCATGTGTGTTTTTTTCATGGGACATTCACGTTTGTATTTTGATATATTTTGGCCCTCCATACATCTCAGGGATCACATCACAACAGTTCCACTTTAGAAACCCCCGTCTTAGAGGGTAAACATCAAAAGTGGGAGGCAAAATCATAGATTCATAAATATGTACAAAAGTAAAATAAAATGTAAAATATTTGATGTGCAATAGTTTCTAGCTCCTCCTCACCAGTTCTTCCAGGATCTACCTCTAGCTGCATGTAAAGCTTCTGGTCTTTTGTTGAGTATTTGCTCCCTCTCCCAGTTCTATTCAAGCAGAGACAGAAGTTTTCAACCATGAATGGGAGAAAGAGGTTGAAGTCAGAAAACGGCTGTAGAGTCTGTGAAAGGTAACCCTACGACCCGCCTAATATCTGCAGGAAGAACCTGCAGGGTTTGGATTATCTTGGTTTCCATCCAACATTAACCAGCTTCCCTGTTGCTGGAAAAAGCTTCAACACGGCATGATACTTCCAACACATTCCAAATCTCATGACTGCAAGTTGGACTTTCTATGATTTTATTCTGGGGACATGCATTACATGCCTATATAGTCATGCTAGCCTAAAGAAAGAAGCTCCTCCAGAATTAATATGAGCAACTAGCTGCTTTTATTGCTAATGCTGTCCTGCTGCATGTAACTCATTAAGTTTAAGATCAGAGCAAACTTTTTTCCATTGGAATAGATAATTAAATTTAGTATATTTCTATAGCGCCAATTCACATCATGTCATCTCAGCACTGCAAAAAATAGAAATCTCAATAAGTTATTTTTTCTTAAAATAAGTGCGTTTTTCCTTGATTTGAGGAGGTAAGTAAGACACTTTGCCAATGGAACAAGACAATTTCCTTTTAAAATAAGAAAAAACTATTTTATCGTCTTATTTCAAGTAAATATTATCTAACTATCTTATTTTAAGAGTGAAAATACTCATTCCATTGGCAGATCATCTTATTTACCTGCTCAAATTAGGGCTAAATATACTTAATTTAAGCCATTTTTTTACTTATTTCTGGATTGTTTTTGCAGTGAGGTCACTTTCCAGTTCACCAGATCATCCAGTCAGATTGATTCAAAGTTTTCTATCTAAGGAAAACCAGCTGATTGCATCGACTCATTGACTCTTCAGCAATCCCTCACACTAAGCATGCTTGTAGCGACAGTGGAGAGGAAAAACTCCCTTTGAACAGGAAGAAACCTCCAGCAGAACCAGGCTCAGTGTGAGCGGCCATCTGCTGAGGCCCACTGGGGTTCAAGGAGACAGAAGCAGACATAGAAAAAGAAGCATAGATACAAAAGGCAACTGCAAAAGGCGACCTGTCCAGGAAACACACAGCCAGGCAGACGAGCTCCGAGCCAGCTCCCATGTCAGAGGATGAAGAGAGCACATCCAGTTAGTCACAGTCAGAGAAACAGGACTACACTGGAAAACAGGCCAAGCTCCAACATCTAGAAACAAAGGTGTTGATGGCAGCAGCACAGCTGATATTTCTCTCCAGGATGGAGTCACAGCCAAACAGGAACAGACCAGATGAAGCTACTATGAGAAAAAGCAGAGAGAGCAGAACGTTAGAGATTGAACTAACAGATTCTGCAGAATGCTCTGATAGATGGTCAATTTGTTGAATATTGGTTTAGAACACAACCCTAACTTAAAGGAATAGTACACCCAAAACATGATTAGCCTTCATTTTCTACTCACCCCCATGCTGAACAACACTCTGGAGTACCTCCATTATTTGAATGTCAGCAGACAGCAAGAAGCCTCCCAGATCTCCAGATGCATTTGAGATATCAACAAAGCACTCCAGAGTGTTGTTCAGCATGGGGGTGAGTAGAAAATGAAGGCTAATCATGTTTTGGGTGTACTATTCCTTTAAACTTCTAGCTTAATAATCTCTGGTGAAGATTCTCAGTCATCCAGGACAGTCATTCCAAGCTTTTAAAGCTTCCTGGATGGGAAGCAAGACATCTTCAAACTTGGAAACAAAGTCCATGAGATTGTTTTTAAAATTTTGGAATAAATCATCTCTATCTCTATTAAACCTCAGATGTACTAACAAAACATCTACGGTGAGGGTTTATATATATGTAGGCAGCCGGTCACACTGATTTTATTTTTTATCAGAGTAAAGGGAGCTGTATATGAATGCATGTCACACATTTTTTCCTAAATGCCACATTTTACTTTGCATTTCACAGTGGTGTGGGTGTATCATCGAAAAATAAACTGAAGTTTGACAGTAAAATGAGAAAATATGAAAAGATTCAGCTGTTAGAATTACACTTTCAAACACCGTAATTAAATGTAAAAAAATAAACCACAGCTGTAAGGACGCTTAATCTGTGAATATTTTGAAGTGCTTCTATTCTGAGCTGATGCACCCTCCAAGTGATAACACGGTCGGCTGGTAATATGTGCTTATGGTTCCTCCCCCCTAAATCTATATAAAGCCCGAGGCAGCTGACATGTCCTGATTGATTACAGGATACGAACATAACTCAGGGTCCAGCAGTCAAACAGCCCATTCAAGGATCTGAGGACTGCAAGCAAACAAAGTGGAAAATAAATCCAGAGCGAAAAAGGACGATCTGCACCATCTTATTTTCAGGGTTTGGTCTGCAGCATTTTGAAAGTAGATCTCATGCCACAGAAGTCAAACTTCAGGTTTTCTTTAAACTACTTTTAAAGCATAAGTTCAGTGGAACAATGGAAGGATAAGATTGTAAATAATCTGAAAGGAAAAATGTCTCACAAGGCCTGGAAATGGGGGGGGGGAATACAGAATTTCATACATTTAAAGACCAGACTCTGTTTAGTACATTTCTATACCATATTAGGCATCTTGCAACAAAATATTTGTTTCCATAAATCTGTTTGGCTGGTTTAGCATATGGTAGCATGTAAAAGGACTAGTTCTGTGCTTTTTGTGGTTACTTTATTGCTCCATTTTAACAAATTACTGTAAAATTGTAAGTTTTTAAAACATTTCAATATTTATTTTCGCAATTGTGAATATAAAAGCACAGGGAAATGGTTTAACTGTTTAATAGGTGCAAATATATGTGTTGCTTCACTGTCCACAACTAAAACTGCAATAATAATCAATAATTTTCTATACTGATTTAAAACAACCATACTGTGTTTTTTTTTTTTTTTTTTATCAGCTTTATGTTGATATGTAGTAAATAGTAATGACACCAAAACATTTTTTTTTATTGCATTTTATTTAATCCGCAAAAACACTTTCCCTGAAATGAACAGAAGTGAAGCAGACAATACAGTAAAATGAATCCTTACATTCATGTGACACTGCTGCCCCCTGGTGGCAAGATGTTCACAAGCGTTGAGACTGTGTGCATCATTTGGTAATGCTTTGATCTGGAGTAACTTATACTTCAGTATTGCTAAGTAGGCTCCTGAACTCTCAAGAAACAGACAAAAAAATAAATTCCAGTATGGTTACGACACAAAGATAGTATATTTATCCATATTTTACAAGCAAAACAACCTAATAAAGGCCAAATTTGATTCAAACGTACTTGAGGCAAATTTTTAAATAAAGAGCTCTATGTCCTTGGCATTTCCATCTTTAGATCTGGGGGGGAAAAAAGAAAAAAAGGAGAGGTTTTATTTTTTTAAATAACCAAGAGATGAAAAGCTTAAATAAATAAACAACAATAGACTTACTGATTTAGATTTTATCAAGTCCCAGTTCCTCAGGTGTAGAGATGCCAAGCTCTTTTAGTGTGGGTTGAAGCTCCTGGATCACGTACGGGTAGATGTCTTTATGAGGCCCAGCCTTGTCCTGAAGAAATAAAAAGTTAAATCCTTTAAACTATAACTGAAAAAAAAAAATAAATAAAAATATATAAAATGTTTCCCTTTTTCAATGTTGGCGGTCAATAATTTCACATGTTGAGGTTTTCTTACCTTTACTGCCTCCAAGATACGGATGGCGCTGGCCAAGTCGTTTAATCTCCGGCAGGCCCTCAGCGCGGCCTCAAGAATCTTTGGTTCTGGTACAAGGTCATAGCCAATCAGCGTGTTCATCCCTGAAACAGAGTTAATGCCTTTAAAGCTGAAGCAGATACAGAAGAATCCATTTTTCTAAATTTCAACCACACTCATTTGTTCTTGACCCTAATCCCCGTTTATAAGTGATTCTTATGAAACACCAGAATATGACCAACGGCTAGGGCTGAACGATCTATCGTTTTCGACCGAAAACCGCGATCTCAAGCAACGCGATTTTGGGAATGTCAAAGCTGCGGTTTTTCTTGGTGCATATTAGCCCAATAATTCCTCAATAATTCCAATGCATGCTCATGTAGAAAGGCTCTGTGTCGGCTATTACCAATCAGAAAAGGCTCTGTGTCGGCCAGAACCAATCAGAAAGCTGAAAGGCTGCGCGTGACCAGATGACGTTTTCAGTGTAGCTCGTAAGCTCGAGATTCAATTTCAAGATGGCTGAAGCGGGAGCAGACGCGGAGCCGACAAAATTAATACCAAAGAAAAACAGCACGTCGGTCATTTGGCAGTATTTTGGATTTGAGGCCACTGATGAGCACCAGAAACAGGTGATTTGCCAAACATGTCGTGGGAAAGTGGCTACATCGGCTGGCAATACCACCAATTTACATCGTCACTTGAGTCCACCACCTTAACTTGTATGAGGATTGTATGGCGAAAAAGAGCCTTGAAACATCAAATAGCAGTGATACTTCAGCAAAACAGCCAACCATAACTTCATCCTTTGCCAGTTTGACGCCTTATGAAAGAACTAGCCGAAGACACAAGGAGATTACCACTGCCGTAACGAATTACATATCGAAGGATATGGTGTCTGTAAACACAGTAACCAAAGACGCATTTAAAAGTTTGCTACGCACAATGGACAAGAGGTATGTTCTACCCTCCCGCACCTACTTTAACCGAGTCGCCATCCCACAGCTGTACGGAGAATGCAGGGCCAAAGTTGTAAATGAGCTGGAAAACATGGAGTTTTACGCGTCAACTACGGATCTGTGGTCAAGTAGAACGACCGAGCCATACATGAGTTTGACGGTGCATTTCGTGAATGCAAACTTTGAGTTGAGAAGCCGCTGCCTGCAGACAGCATACTTCCCCACTGACCATACGGGGGAGAACATTGCAATTGGGCTTAAAGAGTGCTTGGCAAACTGGGGCCTAAAAGAAGAGGCCCAGACCTGCATCACAACAGACAACGCCACGAACATGGTCAAAGTGATGGAGCTCAATCAGTGGACCAGACTGCAGTGCTTCGGGCACCGGCTGCATCTTGCAATTGGTAAGTGTGTGTGTGTGTGTGTGTGTGTGTGTGTGTGTGTGTGTCCAAATTTACTGTGTAAGAATTAGTGGTATCATAGTCTCTCAAACACAGTTAGGGCGGGGGAGGGGGACAAAGCGACCCTATGTTTGTTTTCACGCTTTTGTTAGCTGACCAACTGTTAGCGCAATGCTACCGTTTCTCCTACCTATAAAAATGAACGCTTTCATGAGTAAACTTTGAAACCTCCCAATAAGCTACTGCTTGCTTCTGTTTAGCTACGGAATGCCAAGGAACAGAGAGATACAAATGCCGTTTCCCCTAAGCAGGAGGTCTTCAACAGGGTTGTGCGCGACCCCTAGGGGGTCTACGGAGGTACTGCATGGGGGTCGCGAAAGTTTTGGTTGATTAGACTTTTTTATATATTCCCCCCTGCAACTTTTTTCATTAATTGAGATGTCTTTAAATACACATTAATATGAATTAACACAGATAAATGGAGGCAGAAGATGTCTTTCAGTCATCAATGCTCACATTCAGTGACACAGCTCTTTCAAGACACCATTTCATTCACAGCACCTGTCCCATCAAGCAGGAATCAGAATCAGAAATACTTTAATAATCCCAGGGAGTAATTATTTTGTTAAATCACTCCATCTGTAATAGAGTGACTATAGGAGCAGTTTTATATAACACAATTTCATACAATATATATAATTAGGGGGTCCCTGCTCCATCTCGCCATCAGTTTGGGGGTCCTTGGCCAGGAAAATATTGAAGACCCCTGCCCTAAGCTTATTTTTGACACACTTTAGTAAACAAAAAAATAATAAATAAATAAATTTAAAAAAAGCAAATGACGCCAATGGTATTTTGTAGCAGATATGAGGATGGCTGATGCCACTTTATTACAGATTGAAAGGTTTGTTGTGTTTTAGTGGATTGTCGAATAAACATATTGCTGCAAATTAATCACCAGTTACAAATTAATGTATGGCGAATTACTTAATGTGATAGCACCACCTGATGTCTGCTGTTAAAAAAAGTTATGAAGTAGGCTTATCTGACTGTATGTAATGTTTTTCCCAGAAAATGCAGTCAAAGATGACCAACGCATCAAACGGGCCACAGGACTGTGCAAGCAGCTGGTAGCAGTCTTCAGCCACAGCTGGAAGAAAAAGGCGGCGCTAAAACAGGCACAGGAAGACCTGAATCTTCCTCAGCAGTCAATGGTCACCAAATGTCCGACACGATGGGGCTCCCGGCAGAAAATGATTGAGAGGGTGTTGGGACAGAGCAAGGCACTGTGCCAAGTTCTGTCTGAAGACAGGAGACGCGGCACCTGGTCCCGACTTGGCAAGACACTGATGTGCTTGAATCTGTAAACAATGCTCTCGGTCCTCTTCAGGAGTTCACAGACGCCCTCTCAGGTGAGGACTATGTGAGCGTATCCTACCTAAAGCCAGTGCTCCACCTGCTGAGAACAGCAACACTTGCTGTAACTGACCAAGACACAGATCTCACAAAGGAGATAAAGTCAAAAGCTCTCCACTACATTGAAGAGAAATACAGTGACCCAGCGACCCAGGAACTCCTGGACATCGCATCTTTCCTCGACCCAAGATTTAAGACCAACTACATTAGTGAGGAGAATGTCCAATTCATGAAAGACAGAGTGAAGATGGAAATGGAGCAGTTGGCACTAAAGGTAAGCTGTCCTTTTTCTTCACTCTTTCAAAATAAAACAAAAAGCTGTGTTTTTTCTATATATGTTTTTGAATTATACTGTAAGACCAAGGCAACATTTCAACATCAATGTCAGTAATCACAACTAATTGCAAAACATTATGCCTCTACTGTGTGTTGCAGGAGCAGAGGGCTTGTGTCAAAACCTATCCCATGCCACTCAGTACAGAAGAAGAACCACCATCCACCTCTACAAAGCGAAAGCGGTCACTGGGCAGCTTTTTCAAGGCGGTCCCTGCTTCCTCTACTATGCAGTTGGAGGATACCATTAAAGCAGAACTGGACAACTACCTCATAACTCCTAGCATTGATGGAGAGCAAGATCCACTGGCCTGGTGGAGAGTGCACAATGTCAACTTCCCCTGGCTTAGCAGGTTGGCTCGTAAGTACCTTTGCATACCAGCAACGAGTGCACCATCAGAGAGACTGTTCAGTGCCAGTGGTAATATTGTCCCATGTCAGCGTGCAAGTCTGAAGCCAACAAGGGTTGACATGTTGGTTTTCCTGGCCAAAAATCTCTAAAGAGATGTAGCGATGAAGGGGAACATTGTTTTTTCATCTTATCCTGAAATCCCTTACTTGCTCTTACCCTGACATAACTTTGTTCATCTTTTTTACTTATCTTTTGTTTACTGACTATGTAAAATAATTTAACCATTCTGGCATCATTTGTTGTGAGGAAAATATAGGATAATTTAAACTTTAATACTGTTATTGTACTGTTGTTATTTTTTACTACCTTTTATGTTTCAATTCCTCTTGCCACTTTATTTGAAGAAGCACAGGTTTCTAAGCACAGGGGTTGTATTTCTGTAACTGCTCTGTTGCTTATGTTCATAAGCTAGCTCCTTTGAGCCATTTTGCACTTCTTTTAAGGTAAGACTTCATTTTTGCTCAACTTTGTTGTTATATGTTATATTTTTTATGTAGCTTATGTTATTTTACAAAAGTGCAATTGTTTTGATGCTGCTGAGCCATTAATGTTTTTTTTATGAAAAATGTAAAAGAAGCAAAAGTTTACTTAAGAGGGCTCCCGTCCCTTTGTAATTTTTATGTAGCCTACGTTATTTTACAAAAGTGCAATTATTTTGATGCTGATGAGCCATTGATGCTTGATATTTTTTGTTAATGAATGTAAAAGAAGCAAAAGTTTACAAAGGAGGGTTCTCATTTTATTTGACTTTTTTGGATAATATAATTTGTTTCTTAGGTGCTTGAATAAACAGTCTTGCATTTGAAATATGTTGCCACCAGTTTTCATTCTTGCATTATCTTAATTGAATTCATTGGTTATATAATTATTAAATATGTATTAATTTGTACTGAAATTTGATTAAAAAAAATAAATCGTGGTTGAAATCGAAACCGCAATCTCTGCCAGAAAAATCGCAATTTCAATTTTTTCTTAAAATCGTTCAGCCCTACCAACGGCTAAATCAAAGTAACTAAGCAACCTTCTGCTGTTAGGCTGCAGACTAATAACAGCCAATATTGTCATACCCACATAAGGGATGGGACGATTTATGAAAACCGTCCGAACCGTTCAATTCGACTGTCTCGGTTCGGTTCGCGTGTGTTTCGTTCGGTTCATGCGCTGCTCCTTTTTCTCATAGGCGAAGCGTTTACACTCCAGAGCAGAAGGTGGCGGTACTGCGACCAAAGCCAACCACCAGTAGTAAACAAGAAGAAGAAGAAGTGAAGCAGCTTAGCCGGGTGTAGCAGAAAAAAATCAGTTGTTGTGGAGAATTGTGTGGGTATGGCGAGTGGGAAAGAACAGGAGTTGGAAGACGCGCCAGCAGCACTTTATAGGTCTGCTGTATGGGACCACTTTGCATTTAGAGTGACCTACGATGACGGCGGAAAGAAAGTTGTGGATAAAAGTGCAAGCATTGTGCAAGCAATGTGCAACACGTTTTGTTTATGCTAACAGCAACATGACCAACATGTCATGCTAACCCCGAAATCCCTCATACTCCGTCAGCGCTCCGCCCCGCTGCGCTCCAGACCGGCTGCTCAAAG